TGATTATTTTATCGTGAGATTAGTAATTCTTATAGTTATACTTAGTTTTATTATTAGTTTTAGTATTATTTTATCCCATTGTCTTTGTAAATTGTAAAAGGTTTACACGGATAACAATGTCTATAAAAAAAACTGAGTTGAGATCCGGTGTGAAGTCAAAGGGAATATTCAGTTCTTTTAGGTTTTCAAACTTTTGTCTAAGATTTTATTTCCAGTTTTACTTATGCTATTAGTGGTTTTTTCCTGAATTAAGAGAGTAATCAATTGATACCTGTACATGTGAATGTCTATGGTATTATTCTTACACATGAACTAGTGGAATTGATCTTCAATTGTATCATTACAATGTATACAGGTATCTGTGTCATAGATGTTAGGGTATCTTTCTCTCATCAAATTTTAGGTGAATAAACTCCAAATTTAATAACTTCACATTGAATGCTCACTCACAGAACTGATCACTATTAATATGAAAGTTCTCAATATGTGTCAATATGGAAGTATCCCATGTCATTTTCCAGCAGATCAGGTAAGCTTTCTTTTCAAATATGTTATTCATGTTTCTATTAAGTAAATACCATTGGGCTGAGAATTTTGTACTTCTGAGCTTCTTTGTAAAATCTTATATAGGTTTCTCAATTGAAAAGTTTGAATATGCAGCAGTAGCATTTATAAGTGAGAGGATTTAAATGTCAGGTATACATGTTTTAGCTATATGGCCCTCAGCTTTCTCATTTAGTTTCACTCACGAATGAGCTTTTACTTTATTTAGTTGAACACTGATGTTTTGCAATCATTTACTCATTAATAACAAACACTAGTCTCCAATTCTTAAGTTTTTTCTGAACATGACGAGAGTTGTGTAATATAGTGTTAATAGTATCTATTGCTGCTTGACTATTGATGAAGATGTTAACTATAGCTTTTCTAGAGATTGTATAAATGGCTGTAAGAATAGCCATTAGCTCTGCACATATTGATGATGAGATTCTTTTGTAATTTTATTATTATAATTACTTTTATTAAATATTTAATATATGTAAAAATATATTAAATATTTGCTATTTCAACTGTTTCCTACCACACTTCTAAAATACATTCTAGAATCTCACATGTTATATAAAAAGATTTTTTATCTGCCAAATAAATACAATTTCTTTTCCAATACATGTGCCATCATTATCCCTTTCTTCAACAAGTATAAATAATTCACTTTCTAATTTATTTTTTTTCTTCTTTATTTTTCATATCTAATATAGTTCCTATTTTTTATATTCACTTTCTTCTTTAAAAACACAATAATACCTTTGTATAGATGGTCAATAAGAAAAACCTGGTTCATTGCAAGACACATAGATGTGCGAGTTAGTATTTTTATTTATTGCTATTTTCAAAATGGTTCTCAAGTAATCAAAATAAATTAATATAGCGAAAACGGAAAACAAGCATGTAATTTTTTTAACCAATAGAAATATGAGTAATAATATGGATTTTTGATTTACGATCTTTATATTTCATGACATGATCTGTAATCTTTATATATTCCGCAATCGCTTATATCTCTATGTTTTCTTTTTACCAAATTGACACTTGTTTCAATTGTCAAAAATGTTTATATTATTTTATAGATTTATTACAAAAAACTTGCAATTGTGATATAATTAAAAAACCTTCTAGATTTCAAAATTGATGTAACTTTGAATACTAATGATTGTGGTATAAATCTTTTGATTGATTCATATAATGTGATCCTAGGTGAACTCATTTCATCTGTATCTCCCCAAAACTTCCATAACTCACTTAGGAACCTAAGTTCTCTTTGTATTTTGTCTTCCTCTATCTATTTATGATATGAATTAAAAAAAAAAATTATCAATATTTTTAAACATTTTTATATTTCTTCATAACAATTTCAGTTCTGGAAAAAATTTCTCACCACGTTGCAATATTTTTTATGAAAATTTAATTGGTCAAAAAAACTTGCAACTATTAGATATTAGTTAGGAATATTCAGTTCAGTACATATTACATATTTTATAAAAATATAAAAAAAAATATTTGAATACATAATCTATATAATATATTACCCTTTCAAGTTTTTTGGATACTTTGTGACAATTGACTTTAAAGTAGACTGTATAAATTATGTACCTGTAATCGACACGGGATACTATAATTCTAAAATTCAAATCATATAATTAAAAAATTCGCATCAATCATTTATGCATAAAATTTATTTTTTCTTTGTACAAATATACATACGTAATTATTCACGTGTCAACGGTTCGAATGAACATCATTTCACATGTAGTTGGTCACAAAAAAAAAATAAGGTTGAATTTAAAGATTTTCAATGACGCAATGTCTTCTAGTTTGGGATTATATATGGTGTTAATCATTTATTAAAAAATGCTAAATCTATTGTGAAGATGGGAGAAATTAGGCAAGACCAATGAATGAAAGCATGATGTGGAACTTATGAAGCCATAAAACACCGTGTGCAGGTTTTTTGATATAAAATAATAGTAATTTTTTATTTATTATTCTTTTTATCTCATTTTCGTTACATTTTATAAATTTGTAATGTGATAAACTTATTATAAATGTATTAGATATCGCACTCAATAAAAAATATATTCAAATTGGCGAAAGCAATGATATCAAATTAGTCATCAAGGAAATTGCCAGTACTTCGGCTGTCCAAATCGTAATAGAAGTAACTTTAATTTATAATAATTTATTCATTAATAATAAACAAGATGGTTATATGAAAGCAAGAGCTAAACGAATTATGAAAGTTGAAATTAATCAGTCTGTAGCACAATTCTCTGAACCAAAATCTCCATTCCGTTTAAATCCGGTGATATATCACGAATTTATTGTATCAACTTTAGAACTTTGTTCAAAAAGATTTCCACTACGAGTATTAACAGACGAATTAATTATGGAAATAAAAAAAAAATTAGTAGAACTGCTGAACAAAAGAATTTGTCCAAAAAAACTCTGGAAAATAAAGGTAATTATACAGCAAATATAATAGTAATATACTTACCTACCGTAACAATTTTTTTTTTTTAGATTCACATTTAAGGAATAAAGTATGTTGAATAAAGAATATAACATAATGTAAGTTGAATAAATAATTGAGTATAAAAAAAATAAATATTTTATATTTTAAATTTTATATTTTATAACAATGGATTCCCATAATCAAGTGACTGAACTTCAATAGAAGCCCAAAATATTGGAAAAGGTGGAGAAAAATGTATATCATTTTTTATCAAGAAATAATGACTGCCCAAGACACGTGAAATTTACTGAAGTTAAAAGCACAAGAGGATAAATCGAAAGCTCGAAAATACAAAAGGTGACGACTATATAAGGCCGAATAAACCGTTATGTGACGAAGTTACGTGAAGAAAGTTCTCAAGCTCAAAGAAATTTGAATTCCATATAGTATTAACTTTTATTTTATTTATTAAAAAATTAAGTGAAGATTATTATTTTGTATATTCGTGTTTTCTTTATTCTTGATAAATTTGGAATATTAACAAGAACAACAAGAATCACAAAAAATTGCTTTCTACAAATAGTATTGATAATGTTTTATCATCTATATTTTTAAAACATGAAATTTCTTAATAAAAGAACAATATGATCCCACCATATAAATTTATCCATATTTTTTGATAAACTACAAAACATAAAAAAATTCCATAATTTTGGTATTGAAGTTTCTATACTATTTTTCAACATCATTTCTGTATTTCTTCAAAAAAATTTCAGCTTTAGAATTAAATTTTCATCAAGTTTTAGAAATGAAAATTTATTTAATTTTCATAATTGAAATATTTTATTTAAATATACTGTATGAATTTTTATAAAAAAAAATTGATTCTATACTATAATAGTAAAAAATATAATTGTCCATCAATTATATTTATTTAAATATACGAATAGACGCGTATGAATAGTGTGAATGACTTGATCCCATTAGAAAATTCGAGTGACAATTATTTTTCATTGAAAGTTGTCAACTGCTTTCACTATATTGTAAATGTAAAAGTGAAAATAAGGTATACGTATTTAAATTCTAATTTTTCTAATATAATTGGTAATTTTCATAAAATAAGCGATTTAATGAAATAATTTACTTGCCGAAAAAAAAGACAACTAATCATCTTTCTCTTAAAAGAATAAATGATATTGAATTAAAAATAAATCTAAATGACATTTTTTTTATATAATGAAAATAGTGTGTTTATGCTGTATTTGTGAAAAATGGTATAACTTATTCTCATGGGAGGGATAAGTGTCATGCAACATGCTTACACGTTATGATTAACATATTATCAAATCTTATATTCTGACTCAATTATTTTTTCTTTTTCTCCTTTTTCTCTCATAATTAAAGAATAATAATCATTCACGAAATTTAGATTGCTTTAGTAATTTTGAAATTATTGTTTTCATATCGTATATTTAGGTAAAGGTTTCGAACAAAAGAAGGTTCGTTATTAAATATTTCTCACTCTTCGTGATAAATCACGATATACAGATTTTTCATGACTTGTAGAATTTCTCCATAAGCGATTCGTGGCTCGTCGTATTAGTCTGTTATTAGTTTCTCCTATTCTCCTGCATTCTTCTGTAACAGCATATCCAAATATCATATAGGCATGACGTCTGCTATGATCACGTATGGGTCTGGACAACCATCCCCTAGAATTAAAATGGTTTAATACTTCTTCAATTGCTTGAGGAGAATAGAGGAAATTTCTGTTTATGTTTCCAAGTAGTGTATTGAGGTCATTCATTTTGGATATTTTATGAAAATCTTTTTTATTTTTTTTTTGATCTTATAATTTTATGTTAGAAAAGAGATACAACAGTATTTATAGCAATCTTTTGGGATTTCACTTATTATATTAATGTAGTTTTTTCTTGCTTTTATATATTTGTTGACTTATTCGGCTAGAGAAAATGTGAAATTACAAATTCTTCCTTAGTCAATTTTAATTTATATTATTCGGTCCCTGAACAAAGAAAAAAATAAAAAAAAAGTTGAAAATTATTTTGATTAATATTTTAGAAATTAGTGAAAAAATTTTTTATGCCTGCAACGAATCCCAACTACAGTTTATTATTTCGTGAATTCATATGCAAATAGCTTGCGAAAGAAACACAGCCATTCTCCTATTGTATTTTATTTTGCATGAAATTTTTCATTGGTAACTAAAAATAATTTTTTTTCAAATAAAATAAATAAAAGTATTATGAATTCATTCTATTTTATATAAATTTATTATTATTTACTTTATTCTATTGATATTTATCATAATTGTGAACTTGGTTTAAAATAAGATTGTCGTTATATTTTTACTTTAAATAAATTTGAGACCATATCTCATAATTTTTTTAAATTAAGAATATCACAAAGATCTCAAATCATTCAATGTAAAATAGTAATCGAATAGAAACATAAATGAGTTATATATGGGTTGTATGAATGAATGAAAAGATTTATAAACTATGTAAGTTATATTAAAAAATTTAAAATAGGTACATATGCATATAACGTGATAATACATGTGTTCACCCACGTTTTCGTGATAATTTTGGTGATAATTTTGGTAATATTTTTCCATGTGATATCTTTTTGATACTTTCACTTAATAATTAATTAAAATTTAAGCAAAAAATTAACACAGAATAAAAGTTATTTCACAAAATAATGACTTGGAAAAAACTACAATTATAGAAAAAAGAAATCCGTATGAATAGATGGGATGAATTGAATGATTTGAAATACCAATCATTTTTGATTTTCATCATAGACTTGTTCTGAAATATTATTATCACGTAAAACTTGAATGATTTGATAAATCTTTATAAATGGAAATATTAGTTCTTCGGCAAAATTCTTTTCTCGGAAAAATTTCTAAAAAAGGAAAATGCCAAGCATTTTATAGCTAATCGTGGTTATTATTATAATGTAATTTTTTATTTCATTGTGAAGATTATAAATAAACTATTTTTTTTCTTTGTTTCTTTTTTAGCCCAGTTTTCCTAAAAGATTACCAATCTCATAATTCCTCAGATATAATAATGCATCATTTCTTCAAACTTAAAGTTAAAAAATGTATTCATCTACTACATACTTAATTTCCCGAAAAATTAAGCAATATCCTGATGCCGTGAGAATAAGAAAGAGGGAAGATCTTGCTTAAGAAGTAGAGAGAGTGGAAAGAAGAATACGAGAGGAGATTATGGCTGAGTTAAAATTATAAAGTCTTTATTTTTTTATCGATTAATAAATAAATAAATAAATATTACAGAAAATTGTACCATTACAATTTCTATTCTAAATATAAATTTATATTTTGCAATTTTTTTATCTTTGAATCTAACAATCAATTATCCAGTTACATTATATACTGTCATTTGTTGAACCCATTTTTATATAATCCAAAAAAATGAGGCAAATTTTTATTTTTAATCATATCTCTAAGATTTCTATTAATTAATTCTATAAATTAATAAATACAGCTTTTCAATATTTCTCGTAGTTCCACATATCAACATTATATTACATTATATTGCTTATCAGTGTAATCATTATTCAAATTCTTTCACTTGATCTTTACTGAACTCCTTCCTCTGAAAAGCCTCCTTAATTACTGTCAAAGAGTATAATTTTTTAGCAGCTTTCAAATACCATTTAAATGCTTCTTTTTAATCCTTATCTGTTACTCGAACCAATACCATAATTATAACAATATCCAGTATTTGCATGTTACAAAAACGTTTCCAGTAAGTACAGATTTCATATTCCATTGAAATTCTTTATCTTCATCTTTTGAGATTCCTTTTCTATCTGTATAATTATAACCGACATTATATTGTGCTACAATATATCCTTTTTCATCAGATTTCAAATATATTTCAAATGCCTTCTTTTCATTTTTTCAATTCCAAAACTTATTGCATAACTCGATGCTGAATTATTTAAAGCTACAAGAGTCCCTTCATCAACATTAAATACCTTTTTTATCCTTTTCAGAACTAAGACCATCAAAATAAATAGATGATTGCTATTTCTTTGTTAATTTGTGCAGTCTACTTATTATTCATATCGTTATATCATTAGAATCCAAACTAAGAATTCGTAATCAATAACAGTCACAATATGATACAGATAAAAAAATTCATTAAGCTAGTAAACCAATAATAAGATAACTGTTATTCATTTCGTTTAGAACTTTAACTAGATTCTTATCATTGGTTGCATTTAGAAATTTGTTTTTCGTACAAATCAATTAGTCTCAAATAAATCCTTAATAGACTCATTGATTTTAGCAGATAAATCGATAAAAGATGATCGGATCGAACTTCTAGTTTATCCTTTTTAAAAAAGAAAATTTTACAGTCCTATAAATATATAAAAATTTAAAATGTAAATAATGTAAACCCTTTTTTGTCTTTTTAAATTTAATAAAAATAATTTCATTGAGATATTGTGAAATGATGATTGAGCTTCTAATTAACAAAAATAAATATTGCGAGGTAGTAATTAAGGAGTTTCAAATTCAAAACCTGCATTAGAAATAATTATTTCAGAAAGATTTTTATCTACTTGTGAATTTCTGGTCGCGATAATCATTATTTGTTAAGTAATTAATATAAGTGATTTAATAATTGCCATAAACTTGTACTAACATAAAATTCCTTATAATTAGAAGGCGTTCCAGGTATAACCCTTTCTCTTTAACCTTTCACAATTTGTCTAAGAAATCAATGTTTGATGAATATTCCTTTTAAAAGCCACAATAAATTTCCCATAGAATAAAATTCACAATTTCCATATTGAGGGTCTATATATCATATCAGGCAGGGTTGTGGTCGTACGCTGTACTGTAGTATGACATTGACATTGATCAGGTGAAGGAATTAACCAATAGAATCTATATAAGTCATGATTTTTAATCAGGTGAAATAATAAACCAATAAATCTTATGATTTTAGTCAGGTGAAAGTATTAGCCAATTAAAATAAATATTTGGATTCGTACAATTGTACTAATTTCAAAATCTTTGAACAATACTAGTCTGACCTGTACTATACTTAGAACAGCCAATACAAATTCCCAACCCTGTATGCAGGGTGGGGAAAAATAGGCTAGTACAGCAGTTAGTATTGTACATTATAATAATTAATATAGAATTTAGTACAAGTACAACGTCAATTTTATCTAATACTTACAAATTTAGTATTCTTGAAGATCCAGCCATGATTTTTGTTAATCCAAAAACATATAGTTTTAATGTTCTCATCGTGAATAAATTAATTATTAGCTCTTATTCTTAAATATTTTGCCATGGAATTAAGAATGCTATCATGAAATGAATTCCCGATTTTCGATGTCTAATTTTTTTTTTTGATTTAAAATTTCATAAATAAGCAATAAATTCAAATAATAAAATTTTAACTTACTTCATGTATTAAATTTTCCAATGTAAAAGAGCAACAATTTTTTTGAGAAATTTTAAAAATGGCTTTATAAACATTTCCACTAATTAAATTTACATTCTCGAATTCGGAATATTGAAAAATTGGTATATTTTTTCAATAACTAAATAAATGCATACGGGTCTCCCATTCTCTCGAAACATGATTTACATCAATTTAGAGACGTTCATTTTGCGTTCGTTTGATTATGTAATTTTCTATACCAATGCAGTGGCTGAAGTGGCCCAAAACAATATACTCAACGAAGAAATGATTCTGTTACGTTCGTATTAAATTTGTGTACCAATGTTGCAGCGGCTGAATAAGTAACAAAAAATGTTAGCGAAAAAAATTAGCATAGGCAAATAGAATAAAAGCAAAATATATTTTCTAAATTTCTTTCATGTGACAATTCTCTAGAAATAATTTTATTCCATACGGTTTGAAGTCTATCTTTTATATCTTCCGCGTAGCATTTAAAATAAATATAATATTACACTCGAATTTCTTGCTATAATAATAATATTATTTTCTACCATACGATATAATTTATTAAATGAAACATATTTCATTTTTTTGGATAAGAGAATAAATAATACGATAAAGGCTGATTTGGATTTTATTCCATTTATTTATTATGAAAAAAAAATAAATATAGCTCTATGGTTCACTTTGAACTTATTTGGGAGTACATAAAAGCTGGTACCAGTATATTGCAATGTCACACAAATTAAATTTTTATTGTTTTGCCGAATACATTAATATTAAGTTGAAAAAAAATATTTGAATGCATAATCTATGAATTAAAATTTTTTTAAATAGTAATTTTGAAATGATAAAATTCTTTGTTCGATCGATTTGTGTGCATTGTGCTTATATAATAAAAACCCCAATAATTTATTTCGCTGCTTCTTTGTTTTGTTTTTTTTTACAATGAACACAAAACAATTAAATTATAAATATTTGCTTTCTACGATAATTATAATCGTATCTGAGCAAAAAAAAAAATTTTATTATATGAGTATAATAAACATAATGAGTAAAAACATTAATTATAGTTTGTATATTTATATGAATGATAGTTTAAATGGTATTTTAATGTAATAAGATAATTTTAAAGGTCATCTGAGATCATTTGAGGTCATTTGTCTAGATTATTTGAGGTCATTGCCAACGCTGCCTTTTGGCGATTGTGGTCAGCCTGCACAACAATACATAGTACCAATGCATACATAAAAAATTCGCAAAATATACTTATTTTATTTTTTTAAATTTATCAAATATGTTGATAAAGGATTAATAAATCAATTCTATAATTACAATTTACATTTTTATTTAAAACAGAATTTTTAAAATCTTTTAATAAAGTGAATGTCATTTTCATGACGCTTTTTCCTATTTTCATATTTTTGCATTTTTCCGTTTTCACATTTATCCAAATTTTATTCTTCTAATTACTTTGTATTCATCCATAAACGTAATAACGTAATACAGAATTATTTCAGTTTTTTCAATAAAAATTTGAAAATATCAAAATAGAAGGCTTTATTATCTTGCTCACCAAAACAAAAACCCGAAAGCTTATTTGAATATGGATCTTTTGCGATTAGGTAACAATGATTCTCGGAAGAATTTTTTTTTTTGACAAAAAAGGGATTATTGTTATGTGCAATGCATAAAAAAATCTTATATAAGAATAATCATGTGATTTATATATTATATGCATTAACTATATGCATAAAATCATGTTGCATAAGTTCATATATATTTTCAATTATTATAATAACATATAATAAATCAGTTGAAAATCTAATCGTAATAGAGGCGAATCTTGGAAATTGAATTCAGAATTATGTGAAAGGTGAAATTTTATATGCATTAGATGTGTCAAATTCAGAAACTTATTATGTATTTATAATTAGGATATTGTTCAAAAAGATTACCATTATGAGGATTAACAGGCGAGTTACAAACTGAAGAATTAATTATGGAAAAGAAAAAAAAATAGTAGGAATGTTGAATAAAAATAAATAAGTATTTTATATTTGACAGACTTTTGAATGATATTATTAAGTGGTTGGGCTTCAAAAAAGGTAGAGGGAAATAGATAAAAAAGAATCTCTTCAATGTTAGAACATTATTTTGGATAGAAAATAATGATTACTTAAGGAATGTGAAATTTACTGATGTTAAAAGCGCGAGAGCGCGCGAATACCAAAGATGACATCTATACAAGGCTAAATGATCTGTCCCATTATGCAAAACAGTTATTCATGTTTTCCTTATTTTTATAAATTTTGGATCGTAACAAATTCTAAAAATAATATTGCCAATGTTTTATTTTTAAAACATGAAAATTTTTTTAATAAATCTTTTTTTTTTTGGATTTATGAATTTTGCTTGCTTTAATTTTTTTGTTTCTTTTTCATATTTTTTATATTTTTTGATAAGCTATCATAATAAACTTTATATTAAAAGTTATAGATATTATTTCTGGCTCCACATTTATATAAGATAGTTTGCATCTATCTTTTAATATCCATTAAGCCCAACGATCAAAGTTTAATTTATTATTTTTGGCTACGAATAGACATACAATTTAACAAAAAATATCATATGATTTTTGCAATTTAGATCACCTGCTGTTGTGTCACAATTAGTAGTGACTTTTGATACCCCACTGCATATTCTCTACACTAAATTAAATTCAGATAAACATATTTTATTTATTGCTTCGGATATTCAATTTTACGTTAGAATTTAGAATATATTAAGTTTCAAAATATAAAATATTTGAATATATAATCAATGTACGGTATATTGCGGCTTTAGTATCCTTCAAGTTTTTTGAAATACCAAGGTATTTACTTAAAATAGGACTGTATAAATTACTGCAAAGATCCTAAATTTGTAATCAACTGAGGTACTATTTTTAATTCTAAAATGAAGCTTGAAATTCAAATCATGGGATTTAATATAATTAAAAATTTGTTTCAATCATTCATGCATAAAATTAATCTTTTCTTTGTTTTAATATAAACTTCAAAATTTTTTTGTTCTTAATTTCATACTTTTTTTAATTCAATTTAATGCACAAAAAAAATTTTAATGATGTAATGATGATCAACCTGTTAGGAATTATATATGGTTCAATTGAACTCAATATAAAATAGTGATTTTTATTTTATCTCATTTCGTATGCTTCGTTATTACATTTCCAAATTCTATAATTTTATATTATTTATATTAAAGGATTATATTGATAACAATAATTTATTCATTAATAATAAACAAGAGCCACACTGAATCATGGAAATTTGATATTTTTTTCACTTATTCAAATTCAAAATTTTATGAAAGTTGAAATTAACCAGTCTTTATCACAATTCTCTGAACCTAAATCTCCATGAAAAATATCCATTCCACTTGCATTCGGTGATGTATCATGAATTTATTGTGCCAAATTCAAATCAAAAAGATTTCCATTACGAGAATTAACAGATGAGTTATAAAACCGAGGAATTAATTATGGAAATAAAAAAGACAAAAATTATTGAAATGTTGAATAAAAAAATTTATCCAAGAAACTCTAGAAAATAAAGGTAATTATACAGTAGATATAATAGTATTATACTTATCTACCGTGACAATTTATTTTTTTTTTAGATTCACATTTGAAGAATAAAGCATATTGAATAAAGAATATAGCATAATGTAAGTTAGATAAATAATTGAGTATAAAATAATAAGTATTTGTATTTTATAGAGCTTTGAATGACAATGGATTTCTATAGTCAAGTGACAAATCTTTAATAGAAGTCATAGAAGTTTCAAAATACAGAAAAAGATGGAGAAAAATGTATATCATTTTATCAGGAAATAATGACTGCATATCAAAAGCTCAAAAATACAAAAGGTGACAACTATACAAGGTTGAATAGCTGCAGTTACGTGAAGAAGTTCTCAGGCTCAAAGAAATTTGAATTCCATATTGTATTCATTTTTAATTTATATTTTTTTTTATTTTATTTTATTAAAAAGTTAATATCTAAAAGCATTTACTTTTTGTATTATGTAAATTAAGTGAAGATTATTATTTTTATATATTCGTATTTTCTTTATTCTTGATAAATTCAGAATATTAACAAATCAAGTATCACAAAAAATTCTACAAATAATATTGATAATGTTTTTATCATCTAGATTTTAAAAACATGAAATTTCTTAATAAAAGAACAATACGATCTCACCATATAAATTTCATTCTTATTTTTTGATAAACTACAAGCATAAAAAAATTTCATAAGCTTTAGAATTGGGTTTTCACCAAGTTTCAATGCTTTTTTAAATGAAATCTACTTAAGCTTCATAATTGGAATATTTTGATGAATTTTTATGAATTATCCAAATGTACAAAATTTTTTCACAAAAATTTTATTCTATAATAATAAAATATAATTATCCTCTAATAATATTATAATTTCTATATACTGTAAATACATAATCTTTTCATCATTTTTTACATATATGCGTGTGGATAGAGTTTTGGAAATAAGTAAACATTTTGAATAAAATGATATAATTTATGGAGATGAAATAGTGTAAAATGCGATTTACACATTATAATTAAGTGTTAAGGTTAAAAGAAACTTATTTATTATTCTTACGAGAGAAAAAGGTGAAAAAGAAAAATAATTCACAAAACTTAAGAATATCATGAAATTTAGAGTATCTTTAGTAATTTCGAAATTATTTGTTTTCATGTTGTACATTTAGGTAAAGGTTTCAAACAAAAGAATGAGGTTCATCATTAAATATTTTTCACTCTTCGTGTTAAATCACAATATACAAATTTTTCATGACTTGTGGAAGTTATCCATAAGTTATTCATGAACTGTCGTATTAGATTTTTGTCAAATTCTCCTATTCTCCTACCTTCATTTGCAACGACATATCCAAATATCTTGTAGGCATAACAGTTACTATAATCATATATAATTCTCCTAGAATTAAATAATTTAATACTTCAATTTCAGGAGGAGGTTAAAGTGAATTCTATTTATGTTTTCAAGTAGTGTATTGAAGTTATTCATTTTAGATATTTTATAGAAAAATTTGTTATTTTATTTTTATTTTATTTTTTGATTTTATAATTTTATCAGGACGCTTGAGATCTTTTGAGGTCATTTTCCAACACTGTCCTTTAACTATTATGGTCAGCACAACAATAAATAAGTATTCTTGTTAAATTTATCCTTTTTTGAATTTCGTAGTGGAATGCATACATAAAAATTCGCCAAATAAACTTATTTAATTTTTTGTATATATCAAATATGTTGATAAAGAGTTAATAAATCAATTCTATAATTATAATTCATATTTTTATTTCTTTTCATGACACTTTTTCCTATTTTCATATTTTCACATTTTTCCAAATTTTATTTTTCCAATTTCTTTATTTTCTTCATCCATGAATGTAATAAACGTGATAACGGAATTATTTCAGTTTTTTCAGTAAAGAAATTAAAAATATCAAAATAGAATACTTATTATCTTTCTCACCTAAACTCGAAAACTTATTTGAATGCATAATTCAATACAGTTTATAGACAATGAAAATGGTTGTTGATTGTCAAATGAAAATTTTACCCAAACTTATAGGAATAATTTTTTTGACAAAAAAAAAAGGAGTTGAGCCTTACATAGCATACAATGGAATAAATACAAGTCAGGTCTACATAAGAAAATTTGGATCATATAATATTAGTTGTCAGGTGCATATGCATCATAAAAAAATTCTTATTGAACATATGTAAGATCATCACATATATATGCATAAATCATGTTATGCATTACTCCATTTCTAAATTCTATAATTTTCATTTATATTATTTGTATTTTCAATTATTGTAAAAACTTATTGAAAGGTGAAATTCTATATGCATTAGGTGTCAAATTGAGAGACTTATTACATATTTGTAATTAAGACTTTGTTCAAAAGAATTACTATTACGAGAATTAAGATGAATTATAGGAATTTTTGATTAAAGTATTTTTATGATAGATAAAGGCCTGATTCTAAACTAAAAGATTACATGTTTTTATCCTTTTATAACTGATATTCACTGATATATTATGGTTTAAAGTCAAAATGGCCCGGCATAAATACTGTAATATTACGGAGAATTACACCTAAAATAATTTCCTGATACATAGTTATACATGTTTTCCTTATTTTTATAAATTTTGAATTGTAATAATAAGAATAACATTTAATTCTACAAATAATATTGACAATGTTTTATTTTTAAACATGAATATTTCTTTAAGGAACATATCTCTTAGATTTATGAATTTTGCTTGCTCTAATTTTTTGTTTTTTTGTTTTTTTTTCATATTGATAAGTTACAAATGTAAAAACAAGAACGTGATTGACAAAAAATATGGACTTAAATATATAAATAACGTTGATTCACGACTTAATTGACTTAATTGTCTGGAGCGTAATGTAGGACATTAAGCTATATTTGAAAATTGTTCGCACGTGCTCGCAAGTGATTGCACGAAAATGCAAGTGAGGATTTCCGCGTTTTGATAATATAATTAACATAGTGATAGGATCACGGATGCAGATGCAAATCAATAAATTTGTGCAGATCAATGCGAATACCTTTAAAGAATATAATCACATGTATAAATTTCTACTTTGTAATAAATATTATGTTTATATCCGTTTTATCCGTTAAAATACATAGTAATTTTATCTGCGGATCGCACCACTAAATAAACAGCATCAAATAAACAACAACACTGCCAATCAAATTAATTTTTTTGAAGCTTATTTATATTTTGTATATTTCTTTTATTTTTTAACAAATTAAAACGGTCCGTTTCCTAGTATTTTATTTATATCACAAGATGATTAAAATGTTGTCCATTATTAAAATATTAGTTTCCCGCAAGTCAATTTTATTTTTTTTTTTTTTGTATTTTATATATTATTTATCTCACTTTAATAATTTAATTAAATGACAACCTGATCAAACTCTCAAGCGAATAAATGTAATAGCGAGATTTGTTTATTTGTTTGTTTGCGTTTGCGAAATCATAATTACAAAACATTATCTATTCTCTCTATATATAAATCGAATGTTCTATATTATAAGTGTATAACGATAAAATTACATAATAAGAATAAAGCAAAGAATGATTCACGAAATTTAAGAATAACGTAAAGTTTAGAAAATAATAAAATTTTGTACGATAAAGTGCCACGTCTTTCATATTTTTTTGTTTGAACGAATTCATTTAAAATTTTTTTGTAATGTGTTTAAAGGGCTTTCACCCTTCGAGCTAAATCCACATATCCAAATCTTTCTTGCCTTGTTGAATTTTTTCCAAAAGTAATTTGTTGCACTTGCGATTATCTTTTTATCGTTCGTTCCCAATCTTCGACATTCTTTCACGATCGAAATTTTGAGTAACATGTATCCGTGACAATTTTTGTGACTTCGAGGTTTTTTGGAATTAAGGAAAAGGATAATTTCTTCAATTGATAATAATGAAGGAAATATAAGCGTTCGGCTTATATTAGCAAGAATGTCATTAAAGTCGTTCATTTGATATTTTTTATGGAATAAATTTAGTTGTAAAAAATAGTACTTATAATTTCAAATTTTGATTAAAGAGTAAAGAATAAACCAAGGATTTTTAATAAAATTTTCACATGATGAAATTCATCATTATGCTCTATCTATTGATTTTTTTGGTAAAGATCTTCAAACGTCGCTTTTATATTTCAATTAGCTATTTTACAAGAAAGATAAGATAAATAAATCTCATAGGTGCTTGTTTTTTTAGTAGTTTGGTACTCGGTAAAGGGCCGGCGGCGAGATATTAGCTAATGTAAACAACTCAGTAAACCACTTTTTTAAATACAATTGAAACCTTTATAATGATTTTAATGTTCATCATGTTTGAGTCATTTTGTGGCATTTATATTGTTCTTTTTCTTATCTACTGAATTTGGATTATTTACTTTTTTTAGAACGAATATAATTTCTTAATATTATGATTGAGTTAGTTTTCCATAATTATAGTCAAATATTATTAGAAATAATTTCTTTATTTTAAATAAAAAAATTATCAGAATAGGAATGAAAAATTATAGAGAGTAAAAAAATCTCCTTATAAGTACTAAGAGAAAATAATGTAAAAATAATTTGGATCAAGCTTAGTAATGTTTGACGACTGCATTAGATTACAAGATGATTTAAAGGCTAATGAACTCATGTTTTAACATGAGATAAAAACCCCACCATTCTAAGAGAGATTTTTCAAGAGTCCATAATAAATCTTTGTCTCAATTTAATCAGTTATACTGGTATTTTCACATTAAATAACACTTGAAAACGTTATAATATTCATAATATTCATTAAGTTGTTTATCAAATTCAGCAGACAAGAAAAAGAATAAGAAGGCCAAATAATTAATAATTTTTTTTATATTAATTTTATAATAATAATTATTTTTATTTACATTTTTTCTTTCAAAAATTAGGTTTATGCAATTATTATATCATAACTGATAATCTAAAAACATATTTTCTTCAACAATAACATGTATGTTGAATCGAAGTTATAATAATGAGTTTTAAATATCATGTTAGCAAGTATCAATGGCACGCATAATTCTTATCTTATAATTTTATCAAAGATTTAAACTTTTGAAAATTTATATTGATTAATAGTTAAATAGTAGAAAGTGTATTCGTTTTTTTATATAAAAAGTTGTTAGAATATGAAAGAAAGGAATATGGAGAGAAATAAATCTTACTAAGTGCTAAAGAAAATTATGTAAAATAGTAATAAAAATAATATATTTGTATTGTTTACGTCATCATAAAACTGCAACTCAATTTACACATTCAAAGATGAATTATTTATTAGATTTTAATTAACGAAATAAAATCTAAATAGTTTTTATATGTATTATACAATCGAAACTTTTTATAATATCTATAATCCTTATGATTATTTCATTGTTGCATTTATGATGTTCTTACTCGTCTTGTTCTTCATATTTTTTTATCTATTGTTCGAAAAAGTTAATTGATTACATATTAATTTATAATAATAATTATTATTATTACTTCTTTTCCTTCAAAGGGTTCGTTGTTGACCATCGAGGGAAAGACGAATAGATTTTTCATTTTATTTTAAGGGGCTTTAAATATACATTCTTTGTTATTCTTTGTTATTCTTTGTTATTCTTTGTTCGAATTAATTACGTGTAATACCGTAAACAAATATAGATACATTAATTTCGATAATTCCCGATATACTATTTCACTACATGATTAACTATTTCTCAAAAGTTAAATTTTTTGATTTTTTGAATAAAAAAATTCACAAAATTATCGAAATGCCATAGATAATATGATCACAACTTCCTTATTTAGGTTAGTTAGAATAAATCACATGATTAGAGTTAGGGATGTGAAATTGTCTCCCCGACATTTATTATTAATGCACAAAGATATGTTTAGGCATCTGTTTTTTTTTTCGTCGGCATAAACAAAAATTCACGATTTTGGTGATTTTTATTACCAGTGTTAACGGAAATCTCATGATTGACTCCGACTCCCTTATTACAATTGTGTAAAAGGTACACAAATTATGCTTTGTTGCCCATAGAAGGAAAAATTATTACGGTCGATCATGTATGATTGTTGTCAATTTTTATTTATTATATTTTTTTTTGTCAATGAAATTATTTTTATTGTTAATATTTTGTTGAATTCTGATTATAGTACATCTATTTACAGTTTGACCATTAATTCATTGGGATTTTTTTTGATGGGAATTATTCTTCGTCCAAAAAATCCCGTAAATTCACAATTGGATTAAGATCTGGGAACTGCGCAGGCCAAGGAATATTTATTATCAATATAGAAACTGTAATTCTACAAGAAACTTAAACCTATTTATTTCATATTTTTCATTTGGACGACACCAGACCTATAAGCATTTTGAAATAATAAAAAAAAAAGTCTCCATTGTGTAAAATACACTTAACAGTATGAGAACTTACTGTAAATTTATTGAATTTTTCTATTATTTCATCTAAGGATCATTTACAGTCTTTTTTTTACTATTTTTACAAGATGTCTAAGATTTCAAGCTACCAAGCCTAGGAGCAGTTATAGTTTGTTTTGGGTTCTATATTTTTCAATAACATCACGAATAGTTGTTTAAGGACAGCTAAGTTAAGAATGGCTTCAATATTATATTCACTGTGCCACCTTTCCAGAGTCCAATAATTTCGTATGCTCAAATTCGATATGTTCACAAACTCAAGGTAAAAAAAATTATTTTTATAAAATATAGGTCCATAGCTACGTGGGGATTCATTTCATACATTAGATTATGTGTAAAAATTGTCCTTCCGAGTAACGATTAACATGTGTGCATTGTTTTCTCTTAGTACTTAGTGAGATTCTTTCTAAAGGAAAGATGAAATTTATCTTTATATAATTCTCGACACGTTATTTCATTATTTAACCATACCATTTATCAATATAAATTTTATTGGCTTGATTTTTAGTTTATACATTTAGAATTACTAAATATTACATATTTTCTTACATCTTGAATTTAAATTTCAGATAAATATGATAGATTCTTTTGTATTTATCATATTCTTAATTGGGAATGGATTCATAAATTTATTAAATGAATTGATAATGGATTCCATGGTAAAACATTTATTTTTTTAATATTACTTATTTGATTTCTCTTTTTTTAATAAGATGGATTCCATTATTATTTTGTTATTTTTTTTTAATACTTGGGATTCTTAATTAGATCTTTATTTACTTATTTAATTTCTTTCTTGGAATTTATCATGAAAATAATTGGATAATATCTTTATTTTGATTAATAAAATAAAATTTTACAATGTCATTGTAAAAATAGATTGTATTATTGAAATTAATTTCATTTAAAAGAATCTAAGTTGAAAGCGCGAAGGTATGAAAAATTTGCAACCTTATTTCTTTGATTATATTTATTAAATTTCATATTTTATACTTAATTAACTTCGGAAATATTCTTAATTCAAATATTATTAAACAGAAAATTTAGTTTCGAAGCTTGTTTTTTTTTTACAAAAATGAAATGATCATCAAAGGAACAAATTGATCATTTTCCGCAAAGTGCATCTCATAACTTTTAGGCTTGATGCAACAACTTGACATTAATTTGCCAAAAAAAAAAAAATTCCAAAGCGAGAAAAAATAATTTTTTATCCATCAAAAACGTGAAAAAAATAACTAAAATAAAAAATAAATATTTTTTAAAAAAGAAATATTTTTTCGTTTGTTTGAAACCTAAAATCTGTTACACAAGACTTGCTTATAAGTAAAGTTTATAAGGTATATATGTAGACAATACGCTCTTAACCATTAACTAGCGTTCTTCCTTTCTAGTATAAATATTTAAAAAATTAAAAATGGAACAACAATATTTGTCATTGGAAAAAGAAATTAATGAGGTTTCGCAGGGTAGTGGGTTTAGGTCAGGTGATAAATAAAACACTTATTTAATGAGAAGTGTTTTACGTAACTAATCATTGTAAAAAATATAATACAAATACATATATGTTAAATTTTGAGATAAACACTTTTATTTAGAGACCAAAAGGTGGTCAACATAATAAAGTATTGATATCTTTAAGATTTTTGATGCTTTTCTCGAAATATATATTTTTAATCCAGTCAATAAAATGCATTAGTCCTTTTTCTCAACTATGTAATATTTATTTATTATACTGTGGTCAACAGGAAATTTATTAGAAAACTAAATCTTAAATATTTTCCCCAATTTAGAACCAATTATAACATTAAAAATATAAAATTAACATCTAATGCTAATATTCTTATTTACTTTATCGGTGATAATCATATATCATGAAAGTAGTATAATTGACTAAAAGTCATATATGAGTTATATATGAGTTGCATAAAATGTGTATGTAAATGTATTAACTAATACAATGAATAAAATGCATGAATAAATGGGTGTTTTCTCCAAAAAAATTAGAATAGTAGCGAGGTCTAAAACTTTTTGTTAGTTAATGTGGTTGACACATTTTATCAATAATTAGACAGGCAACTTATTAGAAATTTTTTATCATATGACAAGATCAAGCATAATTTAAAAATTTTTTAAAAAAAAAGAGAAAATAAAAGAATCGAAAATATTAAAAATATAGACTTTATTTACTTGCATAACCTGCTCGAATATCAATTTTTATTATAAATTCCGGGGTGAAAATCACCTCATCTGCCACCAATAAACCCCATGCAAGATACATTATTATAATAGTAATTTTCCGAAAGTACAATTTTTTTTTTATTATTATTATTTATTTCACATAAAATTCAATTTGATAATTTAATTAAATGATAACCCGATCATTAAATCTATCTCTCAAAATGAATAAATATGAATGAATACAAAAGCGGTATTTGTTTGTGTTTGTCTACGAAAAGTTACGAAATCATATAATTGTAAATCTATAATGCGACACATTCGATTTATATATATATAGAAAATATATGTTCTATGTTATAATTGTAATAACGATGATATTACATAATAAGAATAAAGCAAAGAATGATTCACGAAATTTAAGAATAACGTTAAAAGTTTCGAAAATAATAAAATTTTGTACAATAAAGTGCCACGTCTTTCATATTTTTTGTTTGAATGAATTCATTTTAAATTTTTTTGTAATAAGTTTAAAGGGCCTTAACCCTTCGTGCAAAATCTACATATTCAAATTTTTCTTGCCGAGTCGAATTTTTCCAAAAGTAATTCGTCGCACTGGCGATTATCTTTTTATCGTTCGTTCCCAATCTTCGACATTCTTTCACGATCGAAATTTTGAATAACATATATCCGTGATATTTTTTATTACTTCGAGTCTTTTTGGTATTAAGAAAAGAAAAAATTTCATTAATTGAAAATAATGGAGGAAATATAAGCGCTCTATTTATATTGGCGAGCACGTCATTAACATTGTCCATTTTATGGAATATTTTTTGGTCGTAAAAAAATAGGATTTATGATTTCAAATAATAAAGAACGAATTTTGAATAGACGTACAGAAATTCTTCATTATAGGAGGATTTTTCTATGCCCTTAAATATCTAATTTGAAACTGCGGTCAGTTTTAATTGATTGTATTTTTACATGTGATAAAAAAGTCATCATTTCAAGATAGAAGATTTTACAAACGCCCGAATGCGTAATCATAAAATTAATCAATTGTGATGGTTTTTTTTATTAGATTTAAATTAACGATTCTAAAGAGAAATAAATTTAAATAGTATAAATGAATGAATACATTTATGTCTATATGTGTTGGTTTTTTTTCTAGCAATTCGATGCTTTAGTAAAAAGGGTCAATGGAAGATATTAGATAAGATAAGCAATTTAGTAAATCCCGTTTATATATAATATTATATTTATAATGATCCATGAGTCACCGCTTATGGCGTTTATGATGTTTATTCTTTTTTCTTTTCTGCTGAATTTGGATAAATTTCAATTAATTAATTTAAATTATAGTAATTTATATTAAGAATAATAGTAATATTGTTACTTTTTTTCTTTCAAAAAAAAAAAAATTCCAGAATTCTAAATCATTAATTGTAATTTTTTTTAAAAAAAAAAATTTTATAGTTTAATGAGCCAAGAATTACTTAAAATCAATTTCGTTTTTTTTTAATAAAAAAAGCTATCGATAGGAATATAAAGAGAAATCTACTGTGCTAAGGCCAAGGGGGAAAAAAAATAATAAAAAACAATATATCTCCATTTGACATCGGAAATTTAATTTTAGATTTGCTCGCTTAGAATATTCCGAATATTTAAATAATTTAGTAATGTTTGACAACCGTATTTAGATTACAAGATGTTTTGCCAATGACATATTATCACATGTAGTGAAAAAAAAAATTCATCAGAAGATTTCAATTTAATCAATTATAATGGTATTTCAAATTCAATAACAATAAATTTTTAATAAAAAAAGAAGAATTTTTTATTATATTTTTTAAGTTATTGATTATAAATAGAAATAAAATCTAAATCGAGCGTGTAAATGAATGAATACATTTATGTTTATAAATAATTCGGTACTCGGTAAGTAAGATCAATGGGCTAGATATTAACTAGCAACTCCGTAAACCACTTTTTTTATATAACACAATTGATCCAAATTCAGCTGATAAGTAAAAAATAAGAGGTCTAGCCAATTAATAATTTTGTTTATATTAATTTTTTTTTTTAACCAAAGGAATTTCATTCCAAGATGTTTATTTATATTTGATTTATAATAATAATTATTATTATTTATTTTTTTTTTCTTCTTTCAAAAATTAAGTTGCGTAATTAATTATAACCGACGATAATAAATTGCTAATCAGACTACTTTTACACAATAGAATTGAAACTAAAAGCCACATTTTTGTTTCCTTATGAATTCTAAATATCGCGATAGCAGGTATCAATGGCACGCAAAATTTATATTGATAAATAATGAATTAGTGTGTTCGTTTTTTTTTCAATGAAAAAGTTGTCGGAATAGGATTGGTAGGAATATAGAGAGAGCAAAAAATTTCACAAAGTGCTCAGAGAAAATAATGTAAAAAATAATAAAAATATATAATCTATATTTGTTTATATGATGTTCATATTCTAATTTTATTCTATCTAATGTATGGATTAATTAATCATATATTAATTTATTATTATTTACTTTTTTTTTCATTGTTTGTTCGCAGGTAGATAATTTATATATGCAATTAATAATAATTTTTATAATAAGTAAACAGTTTCAGCTGTTGCCCATTGAAGGAAAAGACCAAACTTCCCGAGATAGTTTTTCCTTTTTTTTTAGTACAAATTTTAAGGGGTTTTAAAGTTATATTCCAAGTATTCTTTATTTAAACTAATTAATTCCGCAATATTCATGGTGAAACAAATATAGATAAATTAATTTATTTATTATATTTTATATTGTTTTTCTCCATATTTTTTAAAAAAAAATGAAATTATTTTTATATTATTCTCGACACCCTATTTTACTATTAACTATATTTGCGTGCCATTGATCATTGATACAGCTATCATGATATTTAGAATCCATTATTATAACTTCATACTCATTATTATAGAAAAAATAGGCTTTTTGTTTCAATTCTATTATTTAAAGCAGTTATGTTCTAAGTAACAATTTATTATGAATAATTATCAGTTATAATAATTATGCAGGCTTAATTTTTGAAAAGAAAAAAAAAAGTAAATAATAATAATTAATATAAATTCAGATTATGATCGTTTGTTATTGTTGTCCATGGAAGGACCGATATTCCCGAGATAGATTTCCATTTTTTCTTTGATAGGTTTTAAAGTAGAAGAAATATTCTAAGTTGCAATCTAAGATTCTTAATTTTCCTTCAAGTAACCAAATATAGATATATTATTTTTATTATTTTTCTATTAGCGCCTTATGTAAACAAATATGACGCTGCATGAGATTATTATCACAGTGCATATATTATTAGTTTTATTATTATTTATTTATTTATTTATATTAAGAAAAGAATAATGGTGTTTCATTGTTTTGAACATATCAAATATTTTATTTATGTTGTGTTGGTTTTATAAAGATTTAATAATAAATTACTCTATATTAACAATTTAAAAAAATTGCCATTTTCATGACGTTTCGTCATATATTACTATTTTCCTATTTTCCCAATTTCTAAATTTTTCAATCGTCCATTTCTCCATCCATAATAATTGCAGATAAACGTAACTTAACAACGGAAATTATTTCAGTTTTTTCAAGTTAAATCAATCTTGTCGTAAAGAAATTCAAGAATTTCAAAAAAAAAAGAATACTTATTTCTTGATCACCAAACTCGAAGAAGGTTGATTGAATGCACAATTCAATGCAGCTCTTTTGAATTAAAAAATGACAGTAGAATAACAAGAATTTTTTTGCAAAAATAATTGCATACAATATCAGTACGTGAGATTCGGAAATTAAAAATATAAGCTATTGATCATTAATCTTGGTCTACATGCATGATTTTCATTACATGCAACAATTAAAAATTTATATATAATCATAACTCTGAACTTATGATGATTATAGGCAAATGGTTTGAATGGTATGGAACTCAAATATAAAAATGAATTATTCTTGAAGCAGGTGAAGCTAAAATCCCACAATAGGTTCACACAATGCAAAGATTTGTGATATAAAATAAATAGTAATTTTTTTTATTTATTATTTGTATTTTTATTTATTGTAATATATTATAAATTAATTAGATATCGTTCTCAATAAGAATGTGTATATTTTCAAATTGGTTGAGAAATTTAAGAAAATAATATCACTTTAGCTATCAAGGATATTGCTTACCAAATCGTAATAATTAATAATTATAAAAAGAAGTTATAACAATAATTTATTCATATTCATCAATAATAAACAAGGAAAACAAAATCTATAGCAAATTGGACTTGGGTCGTTGAAGGCGAATATGCTCATTTAAAAGTAAGATCTATGCCAATTGGTCATTTTTTTTTTTCCTATTTAAATACAAAATTATTTGAAAGGTGAAATTAATCAGTCATTACCATAATTCTTTAAACCAACGAAACCAAAATCTCCAAGGAAAAATACACATTCTACATTAATCAGGTGAAGTGCGTAAATTCAGATCGCCTATCGAACTTACAATCTATTTTAGATTCATATTTGAAGAATAAAAATATGTTGATTCGTCTGGAGCGTAGCTTAGGACATTATACTTCTATGCATAGTGATGATTCGATTCTCCATTGACTACAAAACTGATCTCACGTGATTTTTTTCGTTTGTATATAGTATAATATATTGTATTATCTGATATTCAAAAAAATCCTAGTATTATACAGCAAAAAAGGTTTACGTATATTTGCGTTATTGTGCATGGGCTACTTTATCAAATTTTATTGGTTAAATTGCTAGGTTTTTATCGTATGATAAATAGTAGGTGACAAATATTGTTTCCTCAAGTGAAAAAATTCTGTCACAGATAAGAATCTTGGACATTTAATATCTACAGATTTTTGAAAAAAAAAATAATGCAATGCGTAAAATGTATGAACAAATGCGTGTGAATAAAGTTTTTCTCCCAACAATTAGAACTAAACCTTTTGTTAATTAATGGTTTGACACGTTTTATCAATAATATTTTAAATATAAAAGTGGAAAAAAGTATACTTGTCACCGCTGGTGATAGTCACTGCTGGGCAAAATTAACAAAGTTAGAGTCAGGGAATTTTGTAAATTTACCTAGTGGTGACAATCCTCACTGGGACAAATAGATTTACGAACGTATTTCATTATTAAAATAGTATGTATATTTTTTTAAAAAACTATACATAAAAATTCAATCAAATAATTTAATTAAATGATAACTCGACCATTTAATCTATCTCTCAAATGAATAAATACAAAAGCGAACTTTGTTTATTTGTTTGTGTTTGTTTGCGAAAATTGCGAAATCATATAATCGTATGCATAATTAACCATAAATCGTAACCCATCTATTCTCTCTCTATATATAAGTCGAATGTTCCATATTGATATTATAAGTTTAAAAATGATAATAATACATAATAAGAATAAAGAAAGCAGAATAACGTTAAAAGTTTCGAAAATAATAAAAATTTGTGTGATAAAATGCCACGTCTTTCATATTTTATACTTGAATCAATTAATTTTAGGGTATTGCTAAATATCATTGTCACTACTAGGCAAAATTTCATAATTCCTTGATCACCCCCCCTAACTTTGCCCACGTAAATTTAATTTTGCCCAGTGGTGATGTTTAGCAATTTTCTTAATTTTAAATTTAAAGAATTTTTTTTTGTAATAAGTTTAAAGGGCTTTCACCCTTCGTGCTAGGTCCACATATCCAAATTTTTCTTGCCTAGTCGAATTTTTCCACAAGTAACTCGTCGCATTGGCGATTGTCGTTTTATTATTCGTTCCCAATCTTCGGCATTCTTTCGCGATCGAAATTTTGAACAACATATATCCGTGACAGTTTTTGTGACTTTGAGATCGTTTTGAAAAGAAATGGAAAATTTCATTAATTGATAATATTGGAGGAAATATAAACGTTCTGTTTATATTAACGAGTAAGTCATTAAAGTTATTCATTACGATATTTTTTTATGAAAATAATTTTGGTCGTGAAAAAATAGGATTTATAGTTTCAAATTTTGAAGAATGAACGTGAAAATTCTTCATTATTGGAAGAAGATTTTTTTTTAAGCCTTAAATAAGTAATTTTGAAACTGCGGTCAGTTTTATTCACATGCGATAACAAAAAAAAAGGCATCATTTAAAAGATAAAATCTTCCGTCAGAATGTGTCATCATAAACTGCGACTCAACTTAATCAATTGTGACGTTTTTTTTTAGATTTAAATTAAAATTAATAATTCTACAGAGAAAAATCTAAATAGTATAAAATGAATGAATAGATTTATGTTTATGTGTTGTTTTTCTTGAAATTCAGTACTCATCAAAGGGTTGATGACAAGATATTAGATAAGATAAGCAACTCGATTAATCATTTTTTATGTATATATAATACAATTAAAACCGTTATAATATCATGATGATGTTTATGAGTCATTTTTTATGGCGTTTATGATGTTCTTATTCGCCTTATTCTTTTATTCTTTACTGAATTTGGATAAATGCCAATTAATTTTAATAATAATAATCCTTAAAAAAAAATTCCATAATAATTAAATTGGATCGAATTAATTCTAAATAGTTCAGTTGCTCACAATTGTATTTTTCAAAAAAAAAAAATTATACTTTCGAAAATTCATAATTAAATAGTGAAATAGTGTGTCGAGAATTATAAAAATAATTCGTTTTTTGTTTTTAAATAAAAAAAGTTATCGGAATAGGAATGGGAGGAATATAGAGAGAGAAAAAATCTCACAAAGTACCAAGAGAAATTAATTAAAAAAAAATATATCAATATTTGCAAATGTCAAAAAATTAATTTTAGATTGCTTTTAACAATTATTTACTTAGTAATATTTGACCGTATTTAGATTATAAGACGTTTTTTAAAACCTGCCTCGTTCCTGACCTGATACTTTCATGATAAAAAAATTCATCATTTTTAGAGATAAGATTTTCAAACGCCCAAATGTGCAATCATAATGGTATTTTCATATTAAATAATAAATTGTAATGAAGAATTTTTTTATTAGATTTAAATAAATGATTTTACAGGGAAATAGAAATGAATGAGTGCATTTATGTTTATATGTATATGTAATTCGGTACTTAGTAAGAAAAGGTAACGGTCAAGATATTAAACAAGCTCAGTAAACCACTTTTTTTTTTTTTAATACAATCAAAACCGTTATTAATATTTATGCCTATCATTTTTAAGGTATTTATCCAAATTCAGCTGATAACAAGAAGAATAAGAAGGTCAGATATTAATAATTTTATTTATATTTATTTATTTATAATAATAATAATTATTATTTTTATTTTACTTTTTTCTTTCAAAGATTAAGTTACGTAATCATTATAACTGATAATTTAACTTTCATAATAAATTATTACTCAAACTATTTTGGTATCAATGGCACGCATAATTCTTATAATTTTTTTTTTTAAAAAAAAAAAATCAAAAATTTAAACTTTTGAAAATTTATATTGATAAATGGTATGGTGAATTAGTGAGTTCGTTTTTTTAAAATAATAAAGTTGTCGGAATAGGAAATGAAGGAATATAGGGAGATAAAATATTTTTATTAAGTGCTAAGAGAAAATAATAATAATAATAATAATAATAAATATATATATATCTATATTTGTTTACATTATGAAAACCAAGTCGTCATTTTAAGCCCAAATGTTTAATTCTAAAACCGCAAACCAATTTAATCTATTATGAATTCAATAAAAATAAAAAGAAGAATTCTTTTATTAGATTTAAATTACCGATTCTACACATAAATTAAAACTAAATAGTTGTATAAATGAATGAATGCATTTATGTTTATATGTAATTCGGTTCTCAGTAAGCGGTCAAGATATCAGACAAGCAATTACCTTTTTTTATATAAAATACAATTGAAACCGTTATGATATTTATATGTTTTGTGATGTTTACGATGTTCTTATTCTTCTTATTCTTCTTTTTCTTATCTGAATGAATAAAGATTAATTAATTAATTAATTATATATTAATTTATAATAATAATTATAATAACAATTATTTACTTTTTTCTTTCATTGTTTGTTTTCGGATAATTTAATACATAGTATATATGCAATAATTAATAATTTATTTCCATAAGCAGTGAGGGAAAGACCGATCTGTCCGGGGTAAATTTTCCTCTGTCTTTTTTTTTACAAATTTTAAGGGGTTTAATGATATCTGATATATTCCAAGTATTCTTTATTCAAACTAATTTATATGTCGCTTTGTAAACAAATATATATATATATATTAATTTGTCAAATTTTTTACATTGTTTCTCTCTATAGATTTTATTTTTATTTTTTTATTTTTTTTTTTTAAAAAAAAAATATATATATATAATTCTCGACGCACCGCAATATCACCATTTAACTATTTATCAATATTTATAAATTTGATTTATAAGAAAAAATTATAAAATTATACTTGCTATTACTTATTATTATGTCAATTCTATTGTATAAAAGCGGTTACACAAGTTACACGCCTAAATTATTAAAGTTTTTAATTATAAATTAATATAAATTAAATTTCAGATCATCTTATTCTTTTTCTTATCAAGTAAAATTAATTTATTATATATATTAATTTATAATAACAACAACAACAATTTATCTAAAAGTAGCAAACTAGTAAAGTATATACATTTACAATTTTAGCTCAACCCAGAAATGCCATAGAAGTTAATATATTTATATTTTAAAAATTTTTTATTTTTATTTCATTTTATTTTATATATTTTATTAATTAATATAATCTTTATAGATAATCCGCGGACTTCATAGCGGATACGGATTGAAGTCCGTGGAAAATTCGATAAATCCAGAGGTATCGGAGTTAGGTGGAGGGGGGCTGAAGACAAATTAAAATAATCAAATTGCGAGGGTAGCGTACATTGTTACTTTTCCCCGACAATTGTATAAAGCATCTCCATCGTTAAGTGCACCAGATATATAATTTGCGGATGATTATAATATCAGACTTGTACACCGCTCGTTCCGGATAATAAATCTATGGCGCACAACACTTAAAAACCGTAACAAATTTGAAAGGTTATAGAACATGATACAAAGGTAATACCAAAAAAGAGAATACTTTAGTTGAACAAAACGTAATCTAATAATCATGTTATTAATTTCGATTAGTTAATTATGAGATTTTCTCTCAAAGTAATGATCGGTTCATTATTATTACTGTAGTTTTGTGAACGGATATCTGCAAATATTAATTTCTTATCTATTACCTAAAATTGATATCCGAAATCTCCAGATTTTGTATCCACGGTATTATTTATTTATTTTAATTAATTTTTTTTTTTTTTTTTTATTTTATTCACAGTATTTTATTTATTTTATATATATATTTTTTATTTTTTATTTTATTTTATTTATATTTATTTTATTTTATTTTATTTTATTATTAAATTTTATTTCAACTTTCATTATTAAAAACTTTGAATTTCATTATTTAATGTTTATTTTTTTATTATAATAAATTATTTTAATTAAATTCATCTATGTATACAATTTTTTTATTATTATTATTTGAACTATTGATTTTATTTTAATAAATTTATTTTACATTTATTTTATATTTTTGAAAAATCTTATCAAAATTTTAGCACTTGTTATTGTCACCTAGAACAGTTCATATAAACAGTTAAATCTTAGATAACATTCAATAGTTTGCTTATTTATAATTTTAATAATTTTAACTCATTAATGAAGATGGAAAGTAATAAAGTCGATATGTAGAAAAGAATAAAATTATTAAATTCTACATTTTATAGAAATTCGTTAAACATGCAAAAAAAAAATGAATTTAATTATTGATTTTATAATTTAATTTCAATTTAAATTCTTATAAAAATCTAATTTTAAAGTTAAGTAAATATATATAAGTATACTGTACTTATATGGAGAGAAAAGATGAGAAGAAGGGAAAAGAGAATAAACAAAAAGAGGAAATAGAGAATAATAATCTACATCTGATATCCATTTTCAATCTTCAAATATTCATCTTGAGTCATTTATTTAACATTTCAATTTATCACATTGACAATGTTCAAAAAAATAAT